AAAAGGCTGCATTGTTTTAACAAATGGTCTTTTCAAACACACCTATAATGAGAGATGTAGAGTGATAGGTAGAATGAGGGATGAGAAAGGTGCAGCAATTTCCAGATAAAGATTAAAATGTTCTCCGGGTGTGAAGAGACGGACGAGGGGAAAATGCCAGTCACGGCCCCCCATTATTTAACATAACCAGCTCTGGGGCTCGCAGCTGGTGATGCCCATTAGTCGTCGTCAGCACAACTGTCCAGAGGACCCAGCGTGATGTACGCGAGGTCCCTCGAGTGATGAGACACCCGGTGGTCCCAACCCCCATTTCTCTTTCGGCACAACATCCATCAGGTCAACAAAACTACTACAGAGCAGCTCTGTGCTTCCGTTTCCTGTCAATAAAGAGACAGACCCCTCCATTTCCCACAGCGGAGAAGCGGAAGAGATTTTATGTTGATTGTTTATGGATCAAAGCATTAAACTCCATTTTGTTATAGGTCCCTATTAAGCACAGCTTTTCTTTCCACCATGTAAAGCACAGGGATTTGAGGAACAGGGTCATTTGGGGAGAGATAAATTCCCTACCTGGGATCTAATCACCATGAAAGTAGCTCTGGCTTCAATATTTCCTAACAGGAGTCCCCTCAGGGGCCGAGGCCTCTGCCCTCGGGTCTCCAAGGGCAGCTGTAACTAATGGCCCCGCCATTAAGAAGGAGCGTTTTCCTCAGCTTCAGAGCGGAAGAATCATTCACCTTGAAACGAAGAATGAGGACAGTAATTTAAGCTCGTTATGCCAGCAGCTTTAAGAAGCTCTGTATTGTTCAGAAATGGGACCCGAATGAAGTTTTATGACGAGCCCTCTGTAAAGGTGCCTGTTTGCTGGATTGAAGAAAAGTCTCAAGAGGAGGGCCAGGAAGCGAGGGGATGGCCAAGGAGAGAGGGGATGGCCAGGGAACATGGGGATGGCCAGGGACAGGGGGGATGGCCAGGGAGAGGAGGGGATGGCTAGGGAGAGGAGGGGATGCCAGGGAGAGAGGGGATGGCCAGGGAGAGAGGGGATGGCCAGGGAGAGAGGGGATGGCCAGGGAGAGAGGGGGCCGGGGAGAGGGGGGAGGGCCGGGGAGGGAGGGGAGGGCCAGGAATGAGGGGAGGGCCAGGGATGAGGGGAGGGCCAGGAATGAGGGGAGGGCCAGGGATGAGGGGAGGGCCAGGAATGAGGGGAGGGCCAGGGATGAGGGGAGGGCCAGGAATGAGGGGAGGGCCAGGGATGAGGGGAGGGCCAGGAATGAGGGGAGGGCCAGGGATGAGGGGAGGGCCAGGAATGAGGGGAGGGCCAGGGATGAGGGGAGGGCCAGGAATGAGGGGAGGGCCAGGGATGAGGGGAGGGCCAGGAATGAGGGGAGGGCCAGGGATGAGGGGAGGGCCAGGAATGAGGGGAGGGCCAGGGATGAGGGGAGGGCCAGGAATGAGGGGAGGGCCAGGGATGAGGGGAGGGCCAGGAATGAGGGGAGGGCCAGGGATGAGGGGAGGGCCAGGAATGAGGGGAGGGCCAGGGATGAGGGGAGGGCCAGGAATGAGGGGAGGGCCAGGGATGAGGGGAGGGCCAGGAATGAGGGGAGGGCCAGGGATGAGGGGAGGGCCAGGAATGAGGGGAGGGCCAGGGATGAGGGGAGGGCCAGGAATGAGGGGAGGGCCAGGGATGAGGGGAGGGCCAGGGATGAGGGGATGGCCAGGGACAGGAGGGATGGCCAGGGAGCGAGGGGAGGCCAGGGAGTGAGGGGAGGCCAGGGAGCGAGGGGAGGTCAGGGAGCGAGGGGAATGACACGGTTCTACTCCTAGATTCCAACCATCTGAGAGAAAAACCCAGAAAACAAAAGGTGCCCATGAACAGTGAGCTTCCAGCAAAGGAATCCACCACGAGTATTAAACTGCTGTCAAGACCACAGAGCTACTGTCTTCCATTAAATCTTCAAACCTCCCTCGCAAAGCTCACCCCACCCTCCCAAAACATCAGCACTCAGCGCGTGGCAAGCACCACAGAAAACCTGTCCACAGCTGTGGTCACTGTCAATCTGGGGGGATGGAAAGATGGGGTCCTGATAGGTAAAGAATTGATTCCGCGTTAACTGGAATAATCTTTCCAGAGCTCTCGGGACCAGAACCGCAGCGTTAAGGGGCCCAGGTGGGGGAGGGCACATGGGGGCACCT